GAAGTTGGCATCTCGTTTGCAATAAGTTTACGAGCAAAACGGTGCGTATTCGACTTAAAGCGGACAAATGTAGACAAAGTTATCTTATTTTGAAAAATCAATAAAAAAAACCGAATGAACTTGTACTTGACCTGGTATATATATATATATTTAGTTACAAGCGGAACAATAACTTCTTCAGAAGGAATTGAAGAATGAGTAGCGAGTAGATACTCACTATTTAAAGTCTCGGCAAATGATATAATGCTAAAATTACAGTGTAAACCGTTTAGATACAATTCAGTTAGCTTGCTATTAATAGCTCGAATATTTTGAGAGTATAAACTTATAGAGAGATATTTATTTAGTTTTTTGACTCCCCATTTTTGTGAGAAAATTCAGCATTATATTTTATAGTATTTGAGTTAAACTAAAAATTCAATATATTCTTGAATAATTAGCAAATACAAACGCACGTGTCGGTTAGACGGTTTGTTGAGCAAAACAGTGTCAGTAGAAAAATAATTATATATTTGTTTATTTTTTTTTTTTAAATTATTTTGTTTGTATGTGCGATATATGCCGTCAATCACTTACTACTCGTTGTCAAATATTTGTATTTGCATACACGTGTTCACAGCTGTATGTATTCAGGTATGTAGTGTTTCTCATGCTGCATATGTCGTTCTGATAAAACAGAAACTTGTTTTTCCAACCACATTCCCGTTGTTGTTGAATGGAAGAAATACATGTGCGGAAGTCTTTGAGAGCTGACAGTTTGATTTTGCCTTTCAAACTAGACCTTTTCATTACATTTATGGTCGATTTGTTGACATTTGCTAATTACTTGAGGTTAGAATAAGTAAATATTGTATGAAAAAATTATTCAGTAAATATTTTGAGTATTCCTGTTAAAGCTCGTGTATTATTTTTTGTGATTCCGCAATCTTGAGAAGTAGCAGACTAAACACAATATTTCTCTATCATCGAAATGGAAATACCAAGTTAAGCCACTACCTTTTCCACCGAATCCGAATACTATTATATCTATAAAAGCTGGATTCGTGTAAGCGTAGCCATCTATAGAATCGTTCAAGGACGACCCCAAAGTTTACTCCTTCTTTACTGCAGACCTAAACCGTGAACGTGTAAAGGCGAAATTTATTTTTCCATCCCTTCTTTTCAATGCTGGTAGTATTTTTTTATTCAACATACTTGCCTTCACTTTACCAATTTCCTGTCGGTAGTAGCACTGTACAGTCTTCTCATTTGTATAGTTTGGTACGGCTTTATAGGAAACCAAACTCTGTCTGGATGGCAGATCTTTAAAGTATATCGCTTATACTCAAGCACCGTTGTATACCTCATCAAGACTACTTAGTACTATCCAATAAGGTGCATCCGACCTTTGGTAGGTTTTCATTGGTCCTAAACATCGGACATTGCACCTGATTGTCACAAAGCTGGCTGAGAATAGGCCAGGGTTCTCAGTGTCTTGAACTTAATCACCGGGTGCTTTGCCAAGTTATCCCATTTCTCGGCCATCTGTGGATCCTTCGCTTGGTGTAGACTAAAATGTCAAAAAAACAGCGGATCTTTGCAGAATCCTCCGGACAAGCCCGTTCCATCAGTGGCTTCCCACTGATAGCCAAGTTTGAATTTTTCTTCAGGGTACCGGTCTCAACGTTGAGTTGATTTTGTTATTAAATGTAATTATGCAATTTATTGCTCATGCTAAAATGAGCTTTCGCTTTTTCGTCGAGCAGAGATCCCCCTTACTCGTGTAAGGTCATGAGCCAACCAAGAGCGACCTGTTTTCAGGAGGCTTCGTTCAAGACTGTGCTATTTAGGAGTCATAAGTCAGGCTGAACCTGAACCACGGAAATTGTTTCAAGACTGCTATCAAGATTCATTCGACTTGAATGTTGAATTATCTGACGTTTTTTTAGCCACCATGGAGCAGGGCTGCCACCGATTATAAAAAATATTTCTGAAATATATAAATATATGTAAATTGCCTAGACCATACAATTTAATTTTACGTCCAATAATTTTGAGAAAAATTTCAAAATATTTTTCTTCATTTTTCTCTAATTTATAATTTTAAAAAAGGAATTTTATTGGTTACTAGACTGCATTTCAAGAAACGGCTTTTGAGAAGATTCTTAGGACTCAATATTTCCAGCAGGAAATAGATTTTCAAATCTTGTTCCTCTCCTTCTATATTGGGTTAGTCACAGAAAGGCGCGACACTGTGATTAAGCCCCACCTCTAGACCATCGTTAAGAACCATTGCCATATGTCATAGCTATTGAGGAGTATAAGCGCATTGGACTGATTCCTCATCTTTGCGGATTACCCGCCCGATAGCGTCCAGGATTGTTATGGATGGTCCACATCATCGAGGAGGGTTCGGTCCAATTTTTATCGAGCTATGCAGCTCAATAAATTCATTTGTGTCAGAATCTGAAATTACAGATAACAAAATTTCGGGTTCCAACGCAGGCGGCACGCCCAGGGCCTTTCAGGCTCTTTAAAAAAGCCGTTCACATCACATTGTCTTTATACTCATTAGTTCCTTACCTCCACATGCTCTTTTTTTTGCGGGTGAGGAGAAAAAAATGCCTTCCGCTTTATCATTGTGTCGTCACATCAATGGTATGTGCCACTTGCAGGTCACTAAAAAACTCTCCTCTAGGGAACCGTCGCCCACCCTGGAACTGCTTTCGTATAACTTCAGGGTGGCGTTTCAAATTTCTCATAGTGAGATTATATTTCGCCACCTGCGTCCAGGTCCCGCTTTTTCGCTCGTAGTACTTTTTCTGCGCACTCCCTTACATTTACCCAGTTTGCTTCGTTTTGTAGCATAATTGAGACAATTTGATCTATTCTTAGTTCTCCAACTGTGTTTTCAAGTCTGATTCTTGCCTCTTGTCAGAGTGTGCATTGAAAAATTGTATGCTCGGCGTCATCATCGTCAGCATCGTTATAGATATATGACGGATCTTCAGCTATCCCTATTTTATGGAGGTATTTTTTGAAATTTCCGTGACCAGACAGCATCTGGGTAATGTTGGGAATTTTCTAGTTGTCCATATTCTGACGTCAGCTATTAATTTGGCCGTCCATCGGCCATGACTTCCTTCTTCTCATCGGGTTTGCTGCTGGATCAGGGTTTCTTTCCTTATGTTTTATCTGTTTGTATTGACAGTGCATCTTTGGTTCTTCAGTTTTTTGAGCGTCCAGTTTCTCTTCTTTTCGGCTGCCCATAAATCGATGGGAATGCTTACGCTTATTACAGCTATAGCTTCCCCTGATGCAGTAAGGTATGCCGACGCTAGTCTCAAAGCCGCCGTGCGGTATGCTTTGGCCAGTACCATTCGCCTATTATTCTTCTTAAGTGAGTCCACCCATGGGTCGACTCCATGCAGTAAGATGTTAAGGGTTGCCGCCATGATAAGCTTCCTTTTCTCTTGAGTTGGGCTTCCTATATTAGCCATTAGTCTGCTAAGCTGAGAAATGACTTTGGAGGCCTTTACAGCGGCGTGCTGGATTTGTGCCCAGTAGCTCAATCTAGGGTCCAGTCTTACTCCCAGATAGCTAAAAACTCTTCGTGACCTCAGTGTATCCGAGATTGTATGCATGTCTATTTCCACGTTGGTCAAGCCGATTTTTTTTTCTTACTTGGTTTAACTCCCTACGTGCGTCTTCCGTGTCGCGCGCAGTGATTATAGCGGCATCCCACGATATATGTGCTATCAGGCATCTCAAGGTCTAATATGCCATCGTAGCTGACGTTCTAGAGGTCTGGCCCAAGTATAGAGGCCTGCGCTGTTCCTGCCGTCACCTTGTCTTTTCGCTGCCCGTCGGTACTTTGGTATTTGAGGTAGCTCCTCTGTAAGGCTTCGATCATATCCTTCCACTGTGCACTGTTGAAGGCATTTCGAACGTCCAATGTGGCTAGTAGGACTATTTGCATAAAACCATATTGCTTTTTTGAGAGTCTTCCACCTCTAGCAATAGCTGCTAGCAAAGCAGGCTTTCAAAAAGCTTTCCAGCAGTGTAAAGCATGCAGAGAGGGCGGTATGCCGATGGGTTATCTGGGTTGCCTTTCCCCTTATTAATGAGCAAAGGCTGTTGTCTTTTCCAGATTTCTGGGAATAGGTTTCTTTTCAGGTAGGCATTAAACATATTAAGAAGTAAGTTCAAGTCGTTTTAGAGCAATCACTTCGGTGGGTACGCCATCGGGGCCTGGTGATTTCTTAGGCTTGAGCTAACTTGCCGCTATTTGTGTATCTTCGATAGTGAAGCAAGGTATTTCTATAGGACGGTTCTCCAATATTGACTGTTCTTCCCGTATCTCATGTGCTGGAAATCACGTCTTCACACTTGCTAGTAGCTATTAATATAATTAGTGATCTGCTTATATAACCTCCGGCATGTAGAACTTGAACTTAGTATGTGGAAATGTATTTACTTAAAAAATACGGAAGATCCCTTAAAAATATTCCCACTCAAGCTGTGAATTGATAAGAGGCAGTATTTCATACTCTTTTTATTTCAAATCAATTAGCCTCGCACAGACAGCACCCGCTGCTTCTGGTACATGAGTACAATGTATGTAATTGGGATGTTGAATGAAGTCATTAGCACGATTTACATTAACTAATGATAAATAACTGCGAAATAGTTCAAGTGCAACATGCAAGTACATACAGACATACATAACGGTAATGTGTTGTAACTGCATGGCATCTAACAAAAAAAAAAAAAAAAAAAAAAACAAGACCGTGCAAAGATAAGGAGAATAATGCAACTCAGTCGCATATTTCTATCTTCATTTGCTATCTAAACACATGTGTATATATGTATGTGTGTTTGTATGTATATATGTGTGTACTGCATGTAAAAAATGCAACGCGTGGTCAATAGCAAAGACTTTTCTTCTTCTTCATATTCTTCTTCATCTTCTTTTACTGCTACTATGCATATAAATAGTGTCGCCAATTTCCCAACTTCAGCATACTGCAAAAGTCTTTTCTTTTGAATTGTTTCGGTATAAACAGGAAAAGAATTCACCAGGAAAATCTGTAAAAATGTTTGTGAAATTACTTACTCTACTCATCGTGGCAATTTTAGCCGCCCAGAGTGAGGCTCATAACAATAACCGCTATTATGTCGAGCGTGTACCGTTGCCGTTTGGCACTGATTGTGCTGACTCGGCGGACTTTCAACTTTGCCAGGACTTTCGTGACATACGCAATTTGATCGACCCGAATACGCTCGTCTACTACATCAGCTACGGTTACTATCAGGACGATGATTTCCGCAAGGCTATGGACTTCATTAAGACCGATAGATTCCAATCGGTTTCGGATCAAATTGCCAATAGCAACGGTTATCAGCGCTTGCTGCAAAGGTTTGCCGATGCCGGAGTTAATACGGAAACCATTGCTAGTATTTCGAACATTTTCAATTGTTTGATGATAGCGATACCCAAATACAGTGATGATGCTGAGGAGATCACCAGTTTGGATGATATGCAGTCGATTGTGGTGCCACGCATCTCTCTGGGTGATATCGCTAGTAAATTGATTAAGTCCATTAAACGTTCAGATTTGAGAAAATTGTTGAGAGAGAAATTGAATGAGAACGGTGAATTTGCTAATTTCTACAGCGTGCTACGCAGCAGGGACTTCCAACATGATGTGAAGAGATTTTTCGTAAGTCGAAAAATATTAAAAAAAAAATTACAAAATTAAAAAAATTAAATTTTATTTAAATTTATTTAAACTACTTCCAGCATGAATATCAAGTGAAATATCCGATTAGCGTATTGAAACGCCACAAGATCGATTTGAGCAAATTGTTCGATATGACGGTGAAATTACTCGATTGTTAAGCCCGTCTGGCCGCTCGCTCTTCACTCAACACTTTCAATAAATAGAGCTGAATGATAAACGCTAATCCTCTCAAAATTAAAATGAATTAAATTTTTCCTGGCAGTGTAAATTGTAATTGTGTAAATTTTATGTGTGAATAAATAAATTAGATTGACAATGATTGAGGAAATATTGCGTTTGTTTCAAGTAGAAAAGAAATTAATTAAAATAAACTAAAACATGGCAACTCTGCAACAATTTCAGATATATTTTTTTCAGCGTTGGATAAAACAAAAGTGAATAAAACGGCGCAAAATGTGTTTCGAAAGATTTTAGTTGATTCATCTTTGTAGTGTTGCCACTTTTTTCAAGTATATAGTTAAAACAATTAAGCATTCCAATATAAACATAATCTTTTACTTTAAGTATTGAAAATTTAATTTTAAAAGAAGTTATTTTAAAAGGTTAAACATTTCTTTCCGGCAATGCTGCCAAATTTCTCCTTAAACTACAAATTTCTCTTAATAAAATAAAACAATATGAATTTTAAATTAAATAATTTTAAATACAGATTTGTTAAGAGTTGCCACCTGTTTCAAAATTTCGTTATATGATTTTAAGATTATTTGTTGACGTTATTTCTAAAATGTTGTAGATAAATAAGAAAATGTTTAAATTGGCTACAAAACTGCAGTTTTAAAAACGGTCGCAAAGCTTTTCCTTCGAAGACGCCCAAAGCCCATTCATCAGATGATTGGTAAGTCACTCACTCAGAGTTTGCTTTTGGTACGTCGAGAGGACTTTACTTCTCAGTCCAGCATAGCACCTGTTGCTAAGAGTAGTTCCGCGTTAGATTTCAGGACTGAGATTATTGTTGGTGTTAATGCAGATCCCTAGACAGACGACATTATCTATGATCTCGATTTCATGACTATAAATGGGGTCGCACAAGAGTCAAGAGCGCCACTGTTTTCTCGATCGCAAGAGATATTTGGTCCTGTCTGGATCCATTCAGTTTGCTTCTTTGTCAATGTGATATTAAAACGCAAACGCCAGCCATTGTATACTCTTCAAAAAGATTCTAATTTGTCTATTTATTTCCTCCAGACGCCCTTCCAAAGCTACTTTAAAATCGACGAAGAAGTTGTGTGTGTCGATTCGCTTGTAACGGGGTTTTTTCCAAGCTTTGTCATATGGCGATTATCTGATCGATGGTTGATTTACCAGGTCTGAAGCCACACTGGTAAGCTCCAATCCGTTTGTTGACGGTGGGCTTTAGTGTTTCACATAATACGCACGATAGTATCTTATATGCGATATTTAAGAGACTAATCTCATAGCCAATGTGTTAGCATGGCATACTGCGATTGACGAAGGCCAGGGTTCGAATCATGATTCCACCAAAATCTAGACGTCGAGCAAGCTTGAAGTTAATGCATGAATTTTGTCGACGATATAAATATTTGAACAGCTCTGCTGGTAGGTCATTGACTCCAGACACTTTTTTGGCAATCGCTATTCGAAGTTCATCATAGTCGGTTAACACATTTTTTCCATCATCATTGATTAAGGTTTCGAATTCGCCAACTCCGGGTATGCTCTGGATATCAGTCACCAGACTTTCACAAATTAAACCTACATGAGTGTTCTCCAGTCTTGAAACCAAGGTTGCTTCTCTTCTTAAAATTTTCAGGCTTTACTCTTTAGTCTTTACTCTCTAGTCAGCTTCTGAAGCTCTTCATACACACGCGTATTGTCCTCTGTCTCCTTTCGTCTGCAAATTCATCTTGCTCGCCTCTTCAGCACTCGGTAGCTCTCCTACCCTGCACGTGTTGCGGTCGATCGCGGTGTAAGCCGAGTAAAAAACCGTCAAGCTGTTTGTTGTGATTGCAGATTTTTAACATCCTTCCTTGTGCTTGTTGACGGGCCTTCTCTGATACACAGGGACAGGAGCGTATCTTTGCTGCGCCAAGATTGCGATCCCAGTCCATTTTAGGTCTATGGAACGTACGCCTATCAATCACAACGTAATCACTTAGTTTGCGGGATTTTCGATCCAGTGACACCTGCTTAGCTTGATGTTTCATTGGCGCATTCTATGTGCTTATAGAAAGCGTCCCTGGTTACATCGTCCATCTCATCCATAGGAAATCGACGCAAATACGACGATGGATTAACAAATTTTGCTTTGATGTGGATTGTGGTGGGGCGTATATCCAGCGTAGTGTTGAAGTCCCTCTCCCACTACATTTCCAACACCAAATTTGCGCTTATTGTCTTTATTATTTCAAGGATATCAACGAACTGGAGCAACTTGACATTCCAAGTAGAAATGGGGGGTCTCTCACTTTGGCTCGCATATATTTTCAGCAGTTGCTAATAATAAAAAAATATTCAAATAAATTTTAATAAAATATTATATTCTCCAGTAAACAATGTATTTATAATAAAAAAATTCTGCTCAAAAATAATGAAGGAACTCAAAAATATAAAATATAAGAATATCACAGACTCTGTGACTGTCTATAGTTTGATTCCCATATTTGGAACAGAATTGAGGAAGTCCCAAATTTTTTTGCACACAATTTCTATTTTTTTCATCAAAAGCTGCTTAAATATTACCACAAACTATTAAATACCTCTACTAGTGTTGCTGCTGGTTTCTTCTCGTGTCATTTTAACATATTCCGCAATCGGTTAACTGCTCGTAAAAAGCGTTTTAAGTAAGCAAATGAAATGATTGTTATGCCATACTGGTAAGCAGTAATTCAATGTTCAATTCGTTTGACTCATACGCCCAATTTTCCATAAATAACATCCTCTTTAGACACTTTCCCTTGGCACGGCTGGCACTTGGGGCGATCGGTTACTAATACCCTTGCCGTCACGATGGAGACACCGTAAAAAGCAATGTGTTGCAGAAAATTCATGAACCCATTTGTATTCGATCGTTGTTTGCATTTCTTTGCATTTCATTATGCAACTGCGAATGTGGAACCTACTAACTGCCATGATGAAAATCTGCTCAGTTCTGTTCGCTTTGGCAGGTGCAAGGTGTGTATTCTTGTAACATTTGGTTTTGTATTTTCACTACAATTTCATGCAATTCTCCTTGCTTTTAAGGCATGCAAATCGATTCAACACCTGCAAGCCATTCGTACTACAGCGCTGCGTTGCGCATGGTATTGCCGTAGCAGGTGTGCAGGGCGTATGAGTGATATACTTGTATGCACAGAGAAGTTGGTATGTTTATATATATATTGATTTGGTGTAGTTGGTTTGATTTTACCTTTGCTTTGAACATTTTCCAATTTTCGCTACATCATCCCTTCTCACTCTACGATATATAATAGTCCATAAGTTGGGATACCTTTTGGCTTTTAAGACATAGTATCTGTGCATCTTGATTGCCGTTGAATGCTATTTAACTTGTATTCGGTTTATGTACATTTGTGCTCATGTGTATGTGTGTGACAACTTTTGGAGTTTTCGTTAAGTAGAAATTTAATGTTGTTTACACTTAGTTTATAGTGATTGGCAAAGGAGGCAAGAAAAGTAAAAAGAAAAAAAATTGACTTTGAATGCTCAGTGAAAAGAGCGCTAGATATGTAGATATGACCTTCAGTCGTACTATGAATGTTTGGAAATTCAAGGAAATTTTCATATAGCATTTAAATGAACACCAAAATATCAATTTTCTCCTTAACCTCAATTCTGATGGAGTAAAGATGAGAAAGGGAAGGGAACAATTCTAGCAGACAGACAGACAGAATACAAAATAACTGTTTCTGTTGCATAGCGAACTATCACTTTATCACAAATCATAGAGAAAGGCTCAGCAGGGTACATAGGTAGGGTCCAACTGACCATTTCATAAGATTCCTATATAATTGAAACATGTGTCTAAATTCTTATCTATACACGTCATATAAACTCAAGGGTATTCGGAGATTCGATTTCGTCAGTTGTCAGGAGTTTGGAGGCAATTAAATTTATATGAAAATCGCGTATCTTACTCCTTTGGTGCGTTGGGAAATATATCGTACAACAGTGTTCCTCTGTGCCCATCAGTCACTATCGGTTACATCAGAACTTTTAGTGCCATCAAGAGCGTAGGACTTCAAAACCGTGTACACATATACAGAAAAAGAAAGTTTTAATCATAATATAAATAATTTAATTGAAATATAGAATTAAAAATTTGATTTAAAGGCGTAAACTTGTTCACTGAATTATCTTATAAATTTCAATTATTGAAGTTTTATTTTATATTATTTTATTTATTTTTTTTTGTTTTTTTTTTACTTTACTTTATTTTATACTTATTTTATTTTGTTTTATTTAATTATATTTTGCTTTATCTTTTTATACATTATTTTATTTCATATTATTTTATGTTTTTTTAATTTTGGTCCCTTTATGGAGTAACTTTCATTATTTTTTATTTGATATAATTTCCTTTTTTTTTGTTTAATTTTACTTAATTTCAATTACTTTGTTATATTTTATTTTACTATATTTTGTTTAGTTTTATTTAGTTTTTTTATCGTATTTTATATTATTTTATCTCATTTTATTTCATTTCACTTAATTCGATTTTATTTTAATTTTTTTTCGTTTTATAATTTTACTTATTTTATTATTTTAATTGTTTAATATTTTTTTTATTTTACAATATTTAATTTTATTTTATACTGTTTTATTTTTTGTTTTAGTTCATTTTATGTTATAAAATTTTTTTATTTATTTCTACTTTTGTTAAATTTTATTTTAGCAAATTTTTCATTTTTTTTTAATATAATTTAATTTGACTTTATATAATTGCATTTAATTTAAATTTTTCTTATTTTAATTTTATTTAATTGTATTTCATTTTATTTTATTTTATTAAATTTTATTTTATTTCAATTTTTTTTTTCATTTTATTATATTTTAGTTTTATTTCGTTTCTTAATTGTACTCCTTTTTGGATTACATGCCATGTATCGGTTGTTTACAACAAGATATTATTCAAAAACGAACGAACAATTGATGTTGTTGATAAATATTATCTGATATTACTGATTTTTGCATACTCAAAAACTTTTCACTTAGTTTGAGCTCCTCCAACATCAGCAGCAATGTTTTGGAAACCACTCCTGTCGACGAAATAATAATCGGTACAACTATAACTTTGTCCAAGTGCCGCAT